TCCAGCTCTCACCTTTGAGCCTTCCTTTTCCCTTCCCTGGAGAAATGACTCACTGGTGAAGTGTTGGGTGACACTGAGGATCAAAGATGGGTGATAAAAATACTCCTGATTGTGCAACTTTGAAGATGAGGGATGCGCTGTGGACTGAGGATTCAACATGCTGGCCATGAACTCCAAGGCTACGGTGTAAACAGTGGCCATGGCTCCATCTCTCTGGGGAAGTGGAGCAGAGAAAGGAGTTCAAACAGAAATTTACCTGTGCCATATTTGCCATGAAGCCCCTTGTCCTGCCCTCTCAAATATGCGTCTCTGAGAAAGGCACACAAAGGCAGGCACTCAGCAGGACACGTGTGAATCACAGAGGCCTGAGCCCTTCCTCCCATTCGCCCTGCAGGACCTGGCTGGGGCTGAGAGCAGGGCTGTTTCTTTCTGGGTTTTCTCTCCAGCAAAAACAACGTACTTCCCTAGTGTGGAAGTGGTGAAAGAAGCCAACGTGACGTGCGGGCTCTGGGCTGGCTGCTGCGCTGATGTGATAGGCACTTTGGGCAGGGTCACCCAGACTGCCCTGTGTGTGAGCTGGGAGTGTCAGCGGCCCAGCTGTTTTCTCAGATGGAAACTCACCTAACTTCATCCAATTCACTAGATGTAAACTAGATATTTTCTTCTTCTAATTAATTATCATGGGCCTCATAGGGTGAGTAAAACAAAACATAAGTTTCTCTAAAGGATGATTCCCTGGCCAGGTTATAAGGTATTCAAGATGAGAGCAGAGACAGCAAAGTCACCTCATCCAAAAGGCAAACAGATGGGAGGAGAGAGACACTCTAAAAGTGGAGAGAAATATATATGCATGCCTATGTGTGTGTTGGGAGGGTTGTGCAGCAGAGGAAGTCACAACCAGAGAATTCATATACAAAACCTTAATTCTTCAGGAAATTAAGGCAAAAAGGCAAAAAAGCAAAAAGGCAAAAAAAAAAAAAAAAGAAAGAAAGAAAGAAAGAAAGAAAGAAAGAAAGAAAGAAAGAAAAGAAAAAGAAAAAAAGAGGCCTTAAAAGTTGCTGGCGTGATTCCAGAAGACTGAGAAACTTGGCTCAGAAATTATAGTTAGTTTGCTTTTTAAAGGTGCCTCAACTACAAAGTGCTTTTCTCACAGTCAGGGACCTTCCCCTGCCAACACATATATACACACACAGGAGCACTGCCCCTCTCTGGGAGGATATGTGACCCAGAGAGCTTCGTACAGGTCCTCCAACCTCAGGCAATGAGACCCTGGCAGAGGGAAAAGGAGGTCCTGGAACAGTGCTGTAGGTTCCCAGCATCAGGACAAAAGTTTATGGAAATGAAAGCTCCCCACCCCAATGCACCTGACCACACACATCCTCTGAGTCCCTGTGGAGAGGCTGGGGAGCCAAGTCCAAACTCTGCAGAACAGTCCAGGCCACCTCAGACAGAGAAGATGCCCAGAGCCTTTTCTCCCCCTCAGGTCCCTACAAACATTGGCAGACACAGCCTTAAGCCAGGCTGTCTTCAGTGGCAAGAAGGGAGTTGCTTCCCATGCTTCCCAAACTCACCCAGGCCGGCAGTGGGAAGGGCGGCGCCAGCAAGCCGAAAGAGGCTTTTCTCAACTGATCATCTTGGGAAAAGCCAGATACAAATTTCACGGTTGGAATGCAAGGGTTGTGAAACCCTGAAAGAAGCCCCAAAAAGGGCCAAGGACTCTCCTTCTGGGAACGCGGTGGAGGCGGTGGGAGGAGGCTGGTGAGGGCAAGTGGGAAAGGAGCAGGTTACCCAGAGGGGCCTGCCTTTCTGGGAAGCAGGAAGTAAGGCCTCAAGAAAGAAAGAAAGAAATCCCCTAGCACTGAGGTGGTAGAGGGGACAGAGATAGGCTTGGTTTTGTTTCCGAACATAAGGAAAACAAAGCTTTGTGTCAAAAAGTAATTCTGATATAAATGAGCCAATTACGATACAGCTTGTTATCTCCGGGATTTGGAAGCACTAAAGCTGACCACATGTCCTCCTTATAGTCAAATATGCACAGTAAGCTTCTAACATGGGGCTGAGTCTTGTCTTCAATGTCATGTGAAAGGTTCCTATTTCTGCTCCAACTAGATAGATGAGGTCCACCAATGAGGGCCACTATTACCTCAGAGACACAGCCTTGTGTATCTCTAATGGGATCCCTGAGAATGGGGTAAGGAAGGACACACTAGGGAAGAGAGTCCTAAGTGCCACCCTTTTCTAACCTTGTACAAGTTGCTGACTGGCCTCTCTGTTCCTGGGTCTCCTCATCTGTAAAAGGGGGATTATTAGAGTACTTCACAGAGTGCCTGTGAGAATGAATGAAGGTCATGTGTTGTAAAGCTTTTGGAACATTACTTGGCACACTTGGCACATGATCATCACTGTGTAAGTGTGAGTTGCTAGTGGGATGTGAAAAGAGCAAGTGCTTGACCTCCTCTGCGCCTCACAAGTAGGCCAGAGCCCAGCTGCTAATACCCAGGATCCATCAGCCCTTCTAAACCATAGCTTCCTCAGACCATTCCCAGACTCACGTGGAACCAGAGCGCCTCAATCTAGAAAGCCTGACTAAAGGAAAATCAGACATGCACACACAATAAGGCCTGTGCTGGTTGCTCCCCCACAGGGAGGGGAGCAAACACTAGTGCCAGCACATTTTGGGTTGGCTTTCTCAGTCGCAATCTATGTGGTTTATCTGAAATGGGGTCAGGTCCCAGAGTGGGCAGCATAGATATTATAATCATGCTTGCTGATCTAAACTGAGTCCATCATCATCGATCATGAGATAACAGTGAGCTAGAGCCTTGAAACACTTGAGGGGTGTGTTGGAAAAGGATCTTGGCAAAGCAGAAGGAACCATTTCTCAACCAACTGCTAACAAATTGGTAACTAGCGCTGAGAGCCTCAAAAGAGACATTCTGATTCCCTCTGGACTGCAGATTCCAGCACTTTGGAGACCTGACTGGTTACCTGAACTGCAGGGAGGGAAGATGACCCCAAAGGTCTGGCACCCCTGATCTACTTCCATCCATCTATTTGTAGCTCAGTCAATTCAGGCCAAAGGTAGAGGCTGTAGCTCTTTCCTTGTGTCTACAGATAGCTGTTGGACCAGATCCAATGTCCCTTTGCCCAATCAGGGGTGGGCTGAGTCTGGGCTGTATGTATGTATCCAGGAACCCTGAGCCTTGTGCACTCTACAATGTATGAAAGTGCAGCAGCTGAACGTATGCCCAGGATAGGGGGTGAGACCTAGAGTCTGTTCTACATATACAAAAATAGCAAGTGGGGTGTTATCTCTGCAGGAGTCCCTGCCCTTCTGCCCATAAACCTGGACTTTCCAGAGGTGACATGGCCATCTGAACTGAGACTTGTCTACAAGTCATAGGCAATGTGCTTGAATGTTTAAGCCGTCAAGTACCTCCCAGCCTCCCCGCCAGTGCCAATGGGGCCTAGAGGGTGAAGCCAAGCTCAGGGCATGGGAAGGAGCATGGCCCTGGGACAGGATCCAGACTCATAGGTGGAGAGCTTCCAGATGCCCCATGCCTCAGCCTGGCCATCTGCTACTGCCAGGGGAAGATCATGGTGCCTCATGCCAGCTACTTCAAAGCAGATGGCTAGAGAAACCCACTGGCTGGAGTTGAAAGCTGCTCGGAGGTAACAGTGGAGACTTCACCAGGCTCTTGCCAAAAAGCTCAACTTGCTTGGCTTCTGGATGGCAGATTCCAGGTGAGCCATCTTGGCCATCCAGAGTAACTCTCCCCTACCCCACAGTCTGCTCCTAGGTTACAACCTTGACTTTAGCTAGCCAGGCCTCCCCTGTTCCATCCCTGTCAGTTCCTTTCCTGCTTAAAAATTTTAGGGCAGCTTTAAGGTCCAACTCATGTTCTTCTTCCTCTCAGAAGCCCTCCTTAACTATTCCAGATCAGGCTGACTTGTTTTTTCTGTAGAATATTAGATAGCTACCACTTTTGGGGATCATGGATGAGCAACTGGAGCTGGAATTCAAAGAAATAGCTATTTCCAACAAAATGCATCTACAGCCAGACTTACACCAATTTCAGTTCATGTACCCCCAAAGGAAGAGCCTATATTCCAGATGGCTCCCTGAGCCCTTAGCTTGCCACACATCAAGTGTGTAATAAAGACTTCTCAGAAGGACAGATTACACTGGTCTTGCAGGAGTGCTGTGCTTCCTTTTAAGCCCAGGGCATAGCAACTTCCTCTCTGGCAGGCAAGGGTTCTGCTCTGGGCTGCCAGCTCCCAGGCATCCCCTGCCAGCAGTTATTCCCTACAGCTTCCCTGATTCAAAGGGCAGAAGGGGGTGCCCAGCTCCAGCCCTGCCTACCATTTATCCCCTATCAGAGGAAGAGAGGTCAGCAGGAAGAGGATTTCACCTCTGGGGGTGGCCACAGTATCTCCCAAAGGGCTATAGGGGCCCCTAGACAGGCAGCCAAGGCCTGCAAAGGACTTCCCTTCCCTTCTCTGGGCCCCATGGAAGGGAGGCAGGAAAAAGGGCCTCAGCAGCAGGCATCCACTATGGGACTGGCCAGACAGGGAGGCCCCTGGGGCTGCAGCTATCAGCCGGAGACCAGGCTCCAGGAAGGAAGGAAGGGCAACTCTGGCCGAGGCCGAGATAAGGAGGGGAGTCGTGCTCAGCACAATGGGCTCCCTCAAGGCTGGGATTTTGCCCCAACTTGGCCTCCTGTCTGCTCACACAGCCCATGTAAATATTTACTGATGTTTATATTCCCGGTCCGCTGGGTCCCCTTTGAGGCCCTTTCCTATGACCCACAGATCTGTGTGCCCCAGAGACCCTGGGCCCATCTAACAAGAACTATGGGCATGGTTCTATCTCTCATGCAAGCCCCAGGCACAGACACTTCAGGACAAAAGTGCCCCCCGTCCCCGCCCCACCCAGCACCAGCCCTGGGACACTGCTATCAGGAACCTGTACTAACGCCCTCTGTGTTCAGGGAACTTACGGGGCCCGGTCGTGGGTGAAGCCATTCTGCCTCTGAGGGTTGATTGGCGGAAGGACAGGTTTGCTGTTGATCTCAAGTCCTCTCCTCAGGGTCTCCCGGATCTGTTCCGTGTCTGCAACAACACCACTTAGTTGCCTGATGGCCCTTTGGGCTCCTAACAACCCTCAACCCTGCGTTTGGAACCTGGCTCTGTAGACATGCTAGGAAAAGGCCCTATGAAAGCCATGAACCCACTCTAGACATCAGCCATGAGAGCTGAGTGAGAGCAGCGTGAGGACACAGGGCAGATGAGGCAACCGTGTTCTTGAGAAATTCCTGGTCTGAAGAGTGCCATTCTTGTAGAAGATAAGGGGGTGGCCTCTGGATGTCAGGAGGGCACCTTCCATGATAGGGCTTTTCACTGTCCTCTCCCTTCCTCTGCCAAGGCCTAGGTTCACCGTAACATAGTTCCAGACAGTCACCAACAAGGTCTTTGCCACTGCCCAAGACCACCCAGGGATTCTGCCCACTGCAATGGATGCCACCAAGGGCCGCAAGGGCTTTGCCATGAATGAATTCTTACATAGTTTCTGGGTTCTGGGTGGTCAGATATCTGGCCCTGCCACCCTTCTCCTTGGGCTGGCCAGTGGGATACTGAGGTCATCTCCCCACGTTGGGTGCAGGGAACCCTGCCTATCCATGGTCTGCCAAGGGTAAGAGAGGAATCTCTTGGTGGGACTAACTCTTTGCAAGGTGCTCTGCTGATCTTTGGAGTGAAGTTCACTATTCTGGTCCCCTGTAGAGATTCTGGTCTAAGATTTACCTATACAAACAGCAAACACATCCAGAAAAGCAAATTAGTGCTGGTTGCTCAAAGGGTGGGCTTAGACTACAGATGCAATAATACTAACTTTTCTGTCTGACTTATTACAGTGGTATGAATTACTTTTATAATTTTTAAAAATTAGCCAATAACCATTGAAATTTTGGACAAGACTGTGAATCCCTCCTTAAATTACCTCTTTTGTCAAAAGCAACTTAATGATTTTATTTATTTTTTATTTTTTAAAGATTTTATTTATTTATTCATGAGAGAGAGAGAGAGAGAGAGAGAGGCAGAGACACAGGCAGAGGGAGAAGCAGGCCCCACGCAGGAAGCCCAACGTGGGACTGGATCCCAGGACTCCAGGATCACGCCCTGGGCCGAAGGAGGCGCCAGACCGCTGAGCCACCCGGGCTGCCCCCAACTTAATGATTTTAATAACTATATGCTTTCTCTCAGAACCTCCCATGGGCTTATTAGCACATCATCAGAACAAGCAGAAAGGCAAAAGGGGATCAGATATTTGCACTAGGGGCTTAAGTTATCCTTTACAGAAACAGAATAGCTTCCATAAGTGCTATCACATGTGAAGGTATTTTATTCATGACTGTAGGCATCTTATTCTTTTTTTTTTTTTTAAGATTTTACTTATTTTTTTCATGAGAGACACAGAAGGAGAGAGAGGCAGAGACACAGGCAGAGGGAGAAGCAGGCTCCATGCAGGGAGCCCGATGTGGGACTCGATCCCAGGACTCCAGAATCATGCCCTGGGCCGAAAGCAGACACTAAACCACTAAGCTACCTAGGGATCCCATGGTATCCTATTCTTGAAACAGTAAGAAAAGGTGGAAGAAGTAGACAAAAAAAGTAGAAAAACAAGCGGTAAACATACATATATATAAATGGCTGCTTTCCTTTTGGAGTTAGGTAGAAATGCCCTTAGCTAAGAACCACAGCTGTTTCTATAGCCAAGACCACCTTGGTGAGCTTCCAGCAGGAGAGTCTATCCTTCTTCCCCAAGGACCCACTTGGAAAGCAGTGGGCATGGGGTGTCCTGCACACGGCCCTCTGTGCAGTATTTGCAGGACAGTGAGGCAGGGAAGTTTGTGAGCTGGCCTCACACCCAGGCCTCTCTCATTTCAGGCCTGGGAGGGCCTGAGGCCAGAGTGATTCTCGGGTCTGGCATGGCTTTCAGGCCAGAGCTGGGCCTTGTTTCAATTCTGTGGGTGGCCGATGCTTGTTCTTTTGCATTTGGGTGGACTATGGCCTTTTCCTGTAACTGTTCTGTGGCTTCCACTCACCTCCGCGACCTCAGATTGCAAGGGGGCAAATCTAAAACACAATGGTCACCACTGGCAGTGCATCTGAAATACACACAGGAAACACAAGAGAAATGGGCCAATAAAGCTCTCTTCATGCCACCCTGCTGGAAGACTTCACTTGCTGTTTAAATCCTGCCAGGAAAGGAACTATTGAATGGGCTACTGATGCTGGAGCCCCATCCTAGAGAGCCTGAAAACTGGGCCTGAGGAAAGGGGAGGAAGAAGGCTGGGTGGTAGCAGCTACCTTTGCCAGAGAGCCTCCGTGGCTGTGTGCCGATACAGATGCTCCGGCTGTCCTCATCGTCCTCAGGAGGTCGGCTCAGGTCATCCCAGGCACACTTGGCACTGACCCCGCTCAGGTTGGAGCCATCCGTCTCAATGCCTTTGTCAACTCTCTCCTGCTTAGAAAGAACCAAACAGCCAGAGTTCCTTCAGCGAACCGGTGGCCCAAGGTTACCACCACCTTTCTAGTATTTACTGAGTTCTTGTAGATGCTGAGCACAGAACAGATGCTGGAAGAGCAGGACGGCTGATCTTGTTCTGCCCTGGTTGCTAACTCATGATGGTCTCTGCCAGCCACTGGATTCCTCCAGGGGAACAAGGGATCAGGTGAAGCCAGGAAGCATGAAAATCCCAAGGAAAGCTTGTCCTCTATCTCCACCTCCCAGTAAAACCACCTGCCCCCCTGTTGCAGAACCCTAATTCTGCCCACCCCATGTCGGCCCCTGGAGCTGATGTGGCAGAGCCAGGAACTCTTTCCCTAAGGAAAGGAAATGACTTCTCCTCCCTGGTCATTCAGGAAGAACCCCGCAGCTACTGTTACAGAGGACAGGGTGGAAGCCTGCCACAGGCTGGAGAGGCCAGGACATGGCCCAACTTCTCTAACTTCACGCCTGCACTTCCCTCTTCTAACAGCAGAGGGTGCAGTCACCCAGGAAAGCGCCACTAGGGAGCAGAGGGGCAGGACTTCCCCTAGCTGCCTCACTAACTTGTTTGGCAGAGGATGCAGTATCTTTTCCGTTTCTTAGACCGAGATGGAGGCCTGGAGGGCAGTGGCCATCTGCAGACCCCATCAGAGGCCCTGCCTTTGGTGTAGGCCTTGGCCCTGTGGAGTCCCAACACTCTCCAAATGGCCTCAAGGAAGAGTTGTACCCAAACATCCCTGGGATTTCTGGTAAAACATAGTTCTGTGATGCTGGGCGTTGGATTAAAGGCCGTCTGGAAGGCTCTAGCAACGTTGCTTATAAATAGCCACGTGAGCCAAATAAAGCTCGTAAGTGAAAGCACCTCAGTAAGAATCTGCCTCTCTGTCTGCCTGACCCTCTCTGGTGGCTCCACAGGCACCACATGGGCCTGCTGCTCAGCCAGGAAGCCTATCTGTGGAAACACAAGGTAAGGTCCTTATTTCTTGAGACCAGTCAGCAGATCGCCCTGCCCTGATGCCTCCTTTCTGGTGCTACAAGCAACTCGGGGAAAGTGGAGATTTTCTTTTTCTTTTCTTTTCTTTTCTTTTTTTTCTTTTCTTTTCTTTTCTTTTCTTTTCTTTTCTTTTCTTTTCTTCTTTCTTTTCTTTCTTTCTTTCTTTCTTTCTTTCTTTCTTTCTTTCTTTCTTTCTTTCTTTCTTTTCTTTCTCTCTCTCTCTCTTTCTTTCTTTCTTAATATTTTATTTTTAGATAATCTCTACACCCAATGTGGGGCTCAAACTTAAAACTCCAAGATCAAGAGTCACATGCTGTAACTGGCTGAGCCAGCCAGGCTCCCCAAAGCTGGGGATTCTGAGCACAAACAGGGAGAGGCTAAGTACAGGAGCAGTTCCGTGCTCCAGGCAGGAGTGTGTGGGCTCTGCTTTGCTCAGGGTAGAGTCTGAGCTTTACCTTCTCTACTGGCTGCCCTGGGGCCCCTCACCTAAGCAAAGAGCTGAAGACACCTCTTGACTCAACTAGTTCAGCCCACTTACTTTATAAGTAAAAAAGACACACAGCTGGCTAGTAGCAAAGGAGAAAAGGGACAGGAGCCAGCTCTAAAATGAACCACCTGCAAGCAAGCCCCAGACAGCTACAAAGGAGCACAGAAGAGTTCCCACTTGGTGCACAGGGCCCAGGAAAGAAAGCTGGACTTTCTCACCAAGGTCCCCCAGCTTGCTTGTTTTTGCTTTTGTTTTGTCTTTTAATTTTTTATTTTTAAGTAAACTCTATGCCCAACATGGGGCCTGAACTTATGATCCTGAGATCAAGAGTCACATGCTCCACTGACTGAGCCAGCCCCCTCCCACCACCACTTGCTTTTTTTTTTTTTAAAGGTGTTTTAATTTTTTTTAATTTTTATTTATTTTTTATGATAGTCACACAGAGAGAGAGAGAGAGAGAGAGAGAGAGAGAGAAAGAGGCAGAGACATAGGCAGAGGGAGAAGCAGGCTCCATGCACCGGGAGCCCGACGTGGGATTTGATCCGGGGTCTCCAGAATCGCGCCCTGGGCCAAAGGCAGGCGCCAAACCGCTGCGCCACCCAGGGATCCCACCACCACTTGCTTTTAAAGACTACTAGGTGCTCTGGGTCCTGCTGGCTGGTCTCAGTGGAGCCTGAAGACTAGGATGGAGAACTGTTCTTGGCATGCAGAGAAGGATGGGCTGCTTACTCTCTGGTTCAAATGACCAAGTTCTTTCTTAGTACTTGGCACTTACGACCGGGGCTAAACAACAGCCCACAGTGCCCCATGCTGGATCCCAGGGTGGCTGCAGAACAAGGACATAGGGACACATAGCCTTCGTGGTTCCTGGTTTTTGCATAAGCAGAAGATAGAGGGAAACCAACTTTAGAGATAACAGAGGACCCTGGCAGCAATTTGAAAACTTCAGTGTTAAAGGCACTAGGAAAATAGAGGGGCGTCATCTGTGAATGAGCAGGGCTTCTGCCCAAGAACTCACAGTTCTACAGTAAAGAACCCACAGGGTCTGCTGGTTGTGTATCTGCCTTCTACCTCTCTCCTGCCACCTCTCAACCATCCTACAAGACATGGAGCTCCTGGTGGCAGCCCACAGACTACCAGCTTTTTACAGAGACATGAAAGGCTCAGGGATGGCAATGGGCTATGACTGGTGGGGGGGTGGGGGGGTGGGGGCAGTGGGGGATGGGCATAGAAGGAAGTGTATACATGCCAGGAACATTCTTAGTTGTCTTGCTGTCCTGTTTCATGAGCAGCCCCTTAGGAAGGAAGTTATGCTCTAGGTGGTTTTCAAAATTAACTTGCATGCAAAGAGTGTTTCTTCTGGGAAACCAAAGATGTCACTGCACAGCTGGGCCACAGGGAGTGGGCGACTGCAGGTCTGCACGTATACAGACTTCCTTTATACATCCAGGAATGCCTGCCTCCCCAGGGGAGGAGCTTGGAATCTGATTGCCCAAGCTGAAAATGTATCTAGAAGGGGCATGCGATCACTAGACTCATCACAATTCCCACTGCAGCTGGGCCATGGGGTCAGTATCACCTACCCTGTTACCAGATGCTGGCGGTAGGGAGGTGGCTCCCTGAAAGAAAGTTTGTGTTCTTTTAAGAAGATGGAAGTGGGAGGATGAATCCTGGGTAAGCAATATTGATTTTCTATAGTGAAAATCTGGTGATATTATTTTTTAAGTCAGGTTTATTGATGTATGACTTGCATACAATAAAATTCATCCTCCCCCCCCCACTCTTTTATTTATTTATTTATTTATTTATTTATTTATTTATTTATTTATTATTTTTTATTGATTCATTCTTTAAAGATTTTATTTATTTATTCATGAGAGACACACACACACAGAGAGAGGCAGAGACACAGGCAGAGGGAGAAGCAGGCTCCATGCAGGGAGCCCAATGTGGGACTCGATCCCAGGTCTCCAGGATCACACCCTGGGCTGAAGGCGGCGCTAAACCGCTAAGCCACCCGGGCTGCCCTTTATTTATTTTTTTTTTTATCAGTACAAACAGTTTCTAGTTTATTTGTTCCCTTTGATGTAGTTCCAATTATCTCAAGAACTGCTCTTACATTTTTAAGGTGTCAGAGTAAGCGTGGATCCTCATTTTTTTATGAGTCTAGCCAAGATATTACTGTACCATCATCCCAATCTCAATATTATAAATTTCCATTTATTCATAATATAAAAGTCAATTTAATCTCACCCTTTTTGGCAGCCTCGGTGGCCCAGCAGTGTAGCGCCACCTTCAGCCTGAGGTGTGATCCTGGAGACCGGGATTGAGTCTCCCTGCATGGAACCTGCTACTCTCTCTGCCTGTGTCTCTGCCTCTCTCTCTCTCTCTCTCTTTCTCTCTCTCAGTCTCTCTCTCTCTCTCTGTCATGAATAAATAAATAAAATCTTTTAAAAAAATCTCACACTTTTTAAATGCAAAAAAACATGTGTCTGAGGCCAGCTTTCCTGGCCTGAAGTCTCCGCTCCCTATGTGCTCTGCAGAATTCAGGGGACAAGTTCCAAATCATGCCATATTTCTACTCATTCACAAATAAAGCTCCTCCGTTTTCCCAGCATGAAATCCAGTGTTATTTGGAAGAGGCCTAGGGATAGTGTGCTAGAAAGATTTTCCTTGCTCCAGACATACTTGCAGGTGTGGATCGATCTCAAATATGGTCTCTCCCCTCCGCATGTCAGTTATCAGCCAGGGGCCGCCAGCGCTGTGGACAAGGAAAGGGGACAGGATAGTAACTGAGGGTCTGGGGCTGATGGGCTGGGCCTTCAGACTGCCCTGTTTGCTGCCCCAGGCCCAAAACAAAGGGGAGCAATGAGGTCAAGGACTGTCAGGGAGTGAATCATCAGGAATCCCTGATACGAAAAACCAGTGCCTGAAAAACAACGTAAGGGGAAGCCCACATGTGGGGGTAAGGAGGAACTCCCACCCCCAGGCCCAGGAAGCCAGGCCCCACCTCATTGGGCTGGTGTGTACTCACACGGGCACCGTTCGCAGCAGCTCCAAGATGCCCTGCCCGTTCCACTGCTGGGCTGCGTGCAGCTCCTCGGTGCAGACGCCAACAATCTGAGACCCGGGCACAAGAAGCCATTGTGTGTTAATGGCCAGTCCACCCACCCACCCAGGACTGCCACCTAGGCTTTTTCAGGATCAACTCAAGTTGGGGGACCACAAGAAGGATCTATGGTCAAGGGCTTGTCTGTCAAAATAGGATTGTTTCCGTAGGAGGGAACAGCCGCCTGGCTAGGAGATTTCCAAAAGAGTCCACAGATAGGGCACTGGGGCCTGAGGCTTGCCCTGCTATAAGGAGTCAGGTGTCTGGGTGACACGACGTCTAGCCCCGGACGGCAGAGGTGAAAATCAGATGGGTCTTTAGCCCATGTCTCCGAAGGCAGGGGGGGTTTAGGGAGATGCTCCTGCCTAGACTAGGATCACCGGGAATGTAAACACAGGAGATTCTGAGACCCTTTAGGCTCCGGGCAATGACAACCAAAGGGCCCAGCAGTTTGCAGAAAAGCTCTCTTTCCTCATCAGGGGCAGGGCCTTTGTGTAAACCTCAAGGGAAATAAGTGAACCTTCACATGGACCCCATCATGATCACAAGCAAGCCCAGCTGCAGCGGGGGTGGATGGATGCACACCCCTTCTGGGTAAGGGCAAGGCTGGCTTGAAGTTGTCTTCCTGCTGGGTGGTCCTGTGCCTACAGCCACCTGGGACTTTACCAGTTCACCAAAATGCCTGCCTTGTTAGGCTTAGCTGCTCAACTACAGCCCCCCGCCCCCTCGACCGGCCCCACATGGCCCCTTCCCTTTCCCCCTTCTCCCATCTCAGCAGGCTCCAATCTACCCAACCAGCCATCAGAGGGAAGAGAAAATGCAAGAGAAGGAAATCTCCTGTTGCCTTCACTCCCCCCTACCCAAGCCCTCCTCTACTACAAAGACTGTTCCCTCAGAGAATGCTTGGGCCCACATCCAACCTCTGCCTCACCTGGAGGAATGTAACCACCCCAAAGGGTGTCTGTACAGGTTGCATTTGTGGGTCTTCTGTCAGCAACATGTGCTGAATTCTTGACTCACTGTTATCCAAAGGGCTGTGCCAAGACACGTGGTCCCCGCTGCAGAAGGTGTTCTCTGTGGGAAGAGACATGAGGATGCTCAGTGTTGGAGGCCCTGCATCCATGCCTGGAACCCTGATACCAGAGGAGTCCAGACTGGGAACCTCCCCAGTCTACTAGGGGAAGCATTCACTCATATAGGAGAAAAGATTGTGGAGATTCCCCCAAACCTAATGTGTTCCTGCTTGCCAATTCTGCCAGCCTTTGGTAGAAAAGGACAAGCTGCTACTGTAGATGCTCACTTGGTGTAGTACATCCAAAGACTTACTTGGGATTGGGGAGCCATGATCAAGTCTGCCAGCAAAGAATACGGTGCTTTAGTGTGGGGCCACCTGGTCAGAAATCCTCAAGGAGGCTGGAGGGCAGGGAAAGAACTTCACCACAGAAAAGTACATCCCTGTTTCCAATCCTTTTCTGTGCTGCGGAAAGTATTTCTAAAAGGAACCACCTACTGTGGAGGGCCTTTGAGACTGGCCACTGGTTTCCCACAGGTAGACAGATAGAGGGATTTCTGAAGAACACTGGACGCTTCAAGGACGTCTGGATTGTGCCTCACACACCTCTGCAGAGATGTATAGCTGGAAGGGTGGGTGTTTCCATGAAATTACAGACACTGTGCCCAGACTGACCAAGAGAAACATGCAAACATGGCCAACTCATAGCCTCACCACTGCACTTCACATAGGCTCATCACTTCAAAAAATTTTCTAGAATAGCATAATCACAAGGAAGAAAACATCCATGTGGTAGGAAGTCTCTCCCCACCCCTGACCCTTCTGCTAGGTACCCTGTCCTTTTTTTTAAATATTTTATTTATTTATTCATGAGAGACACAGAATGAGAGAGAGAGGCAGAGAAGCAGGCTCTATGCAGGGAGCCTGATGTGGGACTCGATCCAGGGACTCCAGGATCACACCCTGGGTCAAAGGCAGGCACTAAACCGTTGAGCCACCCAGGGATCCCTGGGTACCCTTTCCAAAGGTACTCTGTATTTAATAGCTTGTGTGCATCTACAGGTTCTCTCCACCTTTTTTTCCCCCTAATATAAATGGTAGCATACTGTTTTGGACATTTTGTTTAATGATATATCTTGGGAGATCATTTCATATCAGCACATAAAAACCTACCTCATTCTGAGATTCCTGTGTGGCTCAGTGGTTGAGCATCTGCATTTGGCTCAGGTCATGATCCCAGGGTCCCGGAATCGAGTCCCACATCAGGCTCCCTGTATGGAGCCTGCTTCTCCCTCTGCCTGTGTCTCTGCCTCTCTCTCTGTGTGTCTCTCATGGATAAATAAACAAAATCTCTTTTAAAAATCTACCTCATTCTTTTTTTTTTTTTTTTAATTCATGAGAGACACACACAGAGGCAGGGACACAGGCAGAGGGAGAAGCAGGCTCCACGCAGGGAGCCCGACATGGGACTCGATCCTGGGTCTCCAGGATCATGCCCTGGGTTGAAGGCAGCGCTAAACCGCTGAGCCACCCGGGCTGCCCTACCTCATTCTTTTTAAGATTTTATTTATTTGACAGAGCATAAGCAGGGGAGTGGCAGGCAAAGGGAGAAGCAGGCTCCCTGCTGCCTCTGGTGGGGCTCAATCTCAGAACCTGGGATCATGACCTGAGCTGAAGGTGGAGGCTTAACCAACTGAGCCATCCAAGTGCCCCCCTCATTCTTTTTTAAAAAAATATTTATTATTTATTTTAGAGAGAGAGAGAGAGGACAGACAGAAGTGGGAGAGGGAGAGAAAATCTCACAGACTCCATGCTGAGCATGGAGCCCAATGCAGGACTCAATCTCAGGACCCTGAGATCATGACCTGAGCCAAAACCAAAAGTTGAATGCTTAACCGACTGTGCCACCCAGGCACTCTGCTACCTCATTCTTTAAGTGGCTGTATGGTAGTTCATTGTGGTCTATTACTTATGATCTGGGAATCTCAACAGCTGGGGACTCTACTTTTTATCAATATTTAAGGCCAGGCAGAACATGAAAATACATACACAGGAATGCCTGGGTAGCTCAGCGGTTGAGCCTCTGCCTTCAGCTCAGGGCGTGATCCCAGGTCTGGGCATCCAGTCCCACATCGGGCTTCCTGCATGAGCCTGCTTCTTCCTCTGTGTCTCTGCCTCTCTCTCTGTGAATCTCATGAATAAATTAATAAAATCTTAAAAAAAAAAGACAGAAAATACACACCCAAAACACACACTCACCTAGCTTGAAGCCTCCCAGGAAGGCCTGAGAAAGCCTCTCACTTGTCTTGGTCTGAATATTAAATCCCTCCTATGTCAGGTGTGGTTACGTTAACTATTTTTTTCCATCTAAGAGACAGGCTCAGCTTTTTGATCCTAACCTCAAAAGCATTCACTCACATGGGGTAATAAAGGTAGAGAAGGCACAGCTTCAGGCAGAGCCAACTAGAAACCTTCAAATTTCCCAATTCCTGCTATGCCCACTTTTCCCAGATTCCTTCTCCTTTTACAGAAATGTGTCTATAAGCAGCTTGCATGATCTACAAGTTAGAAACAAAGCACTAAGTAAAAAGATTCAATTAGTAATTCAAAAGCTTATCCTATAACAAGCTTACCCCAGATGGCTTCACTGGTAAATTCTACCAAACATTTAAAGAATTAATACCAATTCTTCACAAACTTCCAAAAAATAAGAAGTAACACTTGTCAATTCTTTCTATAAAACAAATATTACCCTGATACCAAAGCCAGACAAAGGCATTATAAGAAAAGAAAGCCATAGACCATTATCCCTTATTCATACAAACACAAAATTTACACTAGGCAGTAGCAAACAGAATAAAGGGTTATACACAATGAGCAAGTGAGATTTATCCCAGAAATACAAGGTTGATGTAACATAAGAAAACCAATGTAATATATCAATAGAATGAAGATTAAAAAACGTCCCACATGATCATCTTAATAGACACAGAAAAAGCATTTGCAAAATCTAATACTCTTTATTTTTTTTTAAAGATTTTATTTATTTATTCATAGACACAGAGAGAGAGAGGCAAAGACACAGGCAGAGGGAGAAGCAGGCTCCATGCAGGGAGCCCGACGTGGGACCTGATCCCGGGTCTCCAGGATCACACCCCAGGCCACAGGCGGCGCCAAACCGCTGCACCACCAGGGCTGCCCTCTAATACTCTTTAATGATAAAAACATTCAAACTAGGAAGAGACAGGAGCTTCCTCAGTCTATAATAGGGCATCTACAAAAAACCTACAGCTAACATCATACTTGATTGTAAAGATCTGAATTATTTTCCTCTCAGATCAGGTACATAACAGAGATGCCCACTCTTACCACTTCTATTTAACATTGCATTAGGGGTTCTAAGCAGGGAAACTAGGCAAGAAAAATAAACAAAAATCCAAGTAAGAGGGCAGCCTGGGTGGCTCAGGGGTTTGGCGCCGCCTTCGGGCCAGGGCATGATCCTGGAGACCCGGGATCGAGTCCCATGTCAGGCTTCCTGCATGGAGCCTGCTTCTCCCTCTGCTTCTGTCTCTACCTCTCTCTCAGTGTGTCTCTCATGAATAAATAAATAAAATTAAAAAAGAAATGTACATAATGATCCTAAAATTCATATGAAAATTCAAGGGATCGAACACCAGTCTTCGGCTCAGGGCGTGATCCCAGAGTCCCAGAATCGAGTGCCACATTGGGCTTCCTGCATGGAACCTGCTTCTCCCTCTGCCTGTGTCTCTGCCTCTCTCTCTCTCTCTCTCTCTCTCATGAATAAATAAAGCCAAAGAAAAAAAGAAAAAGAAAATGCAAGGGATCCAGAAGAGGTTGAAACAAGCTTGAAAAAGATAAAAGTTGGAAGACTTAATCTTCCTGACTTCAAAACTTGTTACAAAGCTACAGTTACCAAGGCAGTGCGGTAGTGGGGCTCCTGGCTGGCTCAGTCAGTGGAGCATGCAGATTCTTGATCTCAGGGTTGTGAGTTCAAGCTCCACATTGAGTAGAGAGATTGTTTAAAAATAAAGTTAAAAAATTTTTTAAAAGATTTTATTTATTTACTCATGAGACACACACACACACACACACACACACAGACAGGCAGAGAGACAGGCCTAGGGAGAAGCAGGCTCCATGCAGGGAGCCCGACGTGGGACTCGATCCCAGGACTCCAGGATCATGCCCTGGGCCGAAGGCAGGCGCTAAACTGCTGAGCCACCCAGGGATCCCCTAAATTTTTTTTTTAAAGACAGCGTAGTACTGGCATAAGGAGAGGCATTTGATTAATGTAACAGAATTTAGAGTCCAGAAATAAACCCTCACATTTATGGCCAATTAATTTTCGGCAAGAATGCCAAGACAATTCAATACAGGAAAGATAATTTTTTCAGCAAGTGGTACTGGAATAACTGGATATTCACATATGAAAGAATCAAGTCGGATCTCTTCCTTACACCACAAACAAAAATTAATCAATTAACTAATTTAAAAAAAGATTTTATTTATTTATTCATGAGAGATACAGAAAGAGAGAGACAGAGACACAGGCAGAGGGAGAAAAGGCTCCATGCAGGGTAGCCCGATGCAGGACTCAATCCCAGACCCAGGGATCACACCCTGAGCCAAAGGCAGGTGCCCAACCACCAAGCTACCCAGGTGTCCCAAAATTTAATTTAAAATAGATCACAGACCTAACTGTAATAGCTGGAACTGTAAAACTTTTAGAAGAAACATAGTAATAAACCTTCTGACCTTAAATCAGGCAATGGTTTCTTAGACAGACACCAAGTGCACCATCAACAAAGGATAAATTGGATTTCATTAAGATAAAAATCTTTTATGTTGCAAACAGTACCACTGAGAAAGTAAAAAGAAATGCAAACCCAAACCATAATGAAATACCACTTCACAACCATCAGGATGGTTATCATAAAACAAAACAAAACAAAATAAAACACCATGTAGAAAATGGCAAGTGCTGGTGAGGCTGTGGAAAAACTTTCAAGTTGGGTGCACTGTTCCTGGGAGTGTAGGATGG